CATTTCTACGTAGTGAAACATCTTTAGGTTCTCGTTCCCTTATAAATACAAGGCTATTAATATAATTTAATAATTAGATTGGAGGATATATTTCCTGTTAAAAAATAAACCTTTAACAATCATTAACTATTAATTGTACGCACCTTTCTTGAATTTCAAAATCTACTCGTGTCGGGCGATTTCCTTTGATCTTTGTAGAAGGGTTGGACATCTAGAAAAACTAAAATAGTGTCAGAACAAATCGGTACTCATGACAATAAATAATTTCGGGTTTGAAACCCGATTGTAGACAAAAAAATATTTTTATGTTATTATTTCCGACCATTGCAGTAGTAATATTTTCTCTTCATAAAAAAACATTACTTTACCTATAAACCTATGTTATTCAGTATGTTTGTCTTTTTCGCGCAAGTTTATTTGCCTTAAGCGGGTATTACGATAATTTTTATTAGGAAGTAAGAATTATCTTTCTACACATTTTTAATCTATTAAATATTATTATTATCGTCTATCTATTAAGGAAGATGTCGGCTAATAAAACAAATGTTTCCATGTCAGCTTCCGGTTAAATAATTAGTAAAGATAACAATGACGGTCACTCTATAAGTTCCCAATAATATTATCGATAGGAAAACAATATCTTCAGCAAATATACTGCAAGTAATATGTTGCAATGATTATTAAAATGTTTTTATGGTATAACTCAAAATAAATTAATCATAATTTTTTAAGTAAGTAATACAATCTTTACTTACCTTATTCTTAATTATGTCTGTATGTAAAGTAAATGTCTGGTCATTTACTTTCTTACTCAGCAATATTTTAGAATTCGATATTTCGAACGTGCCTTCCTTGAAACGCAGGAGTTTATAGATAAAAATCTTAAAATAATAAGAAAAAATCCCTGACCCTGACTGGACGTCACCAGGCAAAAACATCAATTATGATTAAAAAAGGGGTCAAGTGCGACGTCGAACAATATTTTAATCATCCTGCAAAATTTATTATATTTTCGTATTCATTTAGAATACTTCACAATTGCAAACACTAATGACATATTTCCGTACGCAAAGAGATCCAGACTTGGACTAGATATTTTTCTATTTTATTCGGAAATACTAATGTTAACCAAAAAATAACTTTAGCTTCAATTCTTTTTCTATTGAGATTTGAAAAGGTTAAGTTTTTATTTAATTTTCCTTTTTTTTAGTTATTTCACTTGATGGTTTTACTTAAATAAATAGTCAATCATGATAAATAAGTTTTAGTTCTTTATATCACTCTCATGACTTTTTGTGTTTTTCAGTAATAATTCTTATAAGAAACATAGGCAATTTATATATAACTTTAAGAAAGAACTAAGAGAAAGAAAAACACTTGATTACTAAAAAAAATGAGATACAAAGTTATTAAAACATTTGCCACTAGGTGCCCCGCGTCTACAAAAATCTCTGCTTATGTCATTGTCAAAAGGAACTAGAAGGCTCTATTCTAATATCATATTCTAATAGATGGCCAATATGTAGTGGCATAGTAATTATAGATTAAAAAGCAATCTCGACAACATGTCGCCAATTGGTATCGATACAACAAAATCCTTAACCGAATTGCTACAAATAAGAACTAAAGAAAAAAAATGTAGGAGGAAAAATAATATTAAAACACTTTTAATGCTCTTTAAGCATTTTGAAATTCTATTCAAAAACATTCAAAAGATTCTGTAACCTGTTGACATTTGGCATCTTGTTACCAAAAAAGCCTAAACTGTATTTATTTTAATGTCCTGTCAAATTTTAAACAATCGATTTGACAGCGAAGATTCTGGATCCCTTTTTCATTGTATAGCCGTTACTTATGTAGAAGACATAAGTAACGCTATCAATAATTTTATCATTAATATACATCGCAATCCGGTTTCCTATGCTGTATGCAAAACAATGGGATGCATTATTATAAATTCATAATTATATTGAGTGTGATATGATTGCAAATGTTCACTGTATGAAAATGAAATTTCCTGTTTATATCTACTTTCAGAATCAGTTGTTGATAACCTTCCATTAAAGCAGACGAAACAAAGTCCAAAATGTGCTATTGATATTAGCATATAAAATGGGTTAGCTGATTTACTCCAGCCCACCTTGTTTAAAACGTCGCCTGCGCAATGAAACGCCTAAAAAATACAACTACCGTCCATTTTCGGTGATATACTCGGAACCAAGTTGAAATTTAATCGTTATGATCAAGTATAAATAATACTATCATTTATGGAAAAATATTATTAAAAATCATTACGAGACTTTGACGTAGATTTTTAGCAATATTTTGCAAATCAATCACTTGCATAAGTGTATTGACCTCACCTACTGCCCTCTTTAATCCCGATCTTTGAATTTTGCTTCGTATTGCAATGTTATGAAATTATCAGCTTTTATTAGCGCCAGAAGAGCTGAATTTATTGATACAAATTGCAAAATTGTATCGAAAACTTTCTTATTCTTGTTGTGTTTCTTATTAATGTCTTTTTTACTGTGACGTGTGTTTATAAGAAAAAATATTTAAAAACAATAAACGCTGTCACTACGGAACAAAAATAATTTGCTAAACGAATGAACCAAAAAGGATGTTCTACTTTCGAAATACAGTACCGGATAATAAATGGTGAAATCTGAACTTGGAAGAACTTTGTGGACTCGATGGTCTAATGGTAGCAATGTATGGCTAATAACAATCAAGGGGTCTTTGTTCAATGTCTAGAGAGTCCAATATGCTTCTAATTTTTCTAAAACATGTTGGACTTCGTCAGGGACTCTTGATTTTAAATAAATTGTAGCAATATCGAAATTCCATTCGGGTCTCGAATCACCGTGAAAATGAAAAAACTGTGACGCTGCAAAGCATCCGAAACGTCGAGCCGAAGTTAAAAATCATTTTCAATGCAGTTTAACTAATATATCGCGTTTTAAACCGTTAAAGTGTTTTATTTAAACATTCTATTATTTATATTATTACCATTGAGCTTAGGACTTTTAACGTAATTGAGACGATAGCTACCGATTTTTATAAGAAGGTAGACTACAAGTAGATAAAGTATCAGGAGTATAAAATGACTATTACTTTTATCGCCTTTCGAATAATTACTTACAGATTTCAAAAATCGAATTGCACTTCAAAATGTACCCCTAAGTCAGTGCATTAGAGAGAGGGTCATTTGGTCAATGACCTGGTTTAGTTAGAGTCAAGAAACACGTTTGAAGTACATGCGTTATACGTTACGTTGATATTTCAAATCTTACATCATTAACGTTAATCCTAATGCAAGCGTTCTTACAATTTTCCATTTGTGGTTTGACATAATGGAAAAAACATTAGAAATATTATTAGTAAATATATCAGTGCTATATTGTATGGTGCTTGTAATCTGATGACGCACGTAAAACTTCAGAATAAAAGTAAAAGGTTTTTCAGAAGAAACGATCTTTATCCTTTCGTATTATTTATATTTTTGAGAGGAAAATTAATGAACGCTGTTAACGCGCATGTGACGTCATTATTTCCAGTTAAATCATATATATTTATATATGTCCTGTATATCCATTTCTACGTCAAATTGCATAATATTTTATGGTCGGTTGTCCAAAGTGGAGGTTTTTAATTACTGTTTATTAATTATTTTTAAATATATCTATACTAATATTATAAAGCTAAAAAGTTTGTTTGTTTGAACGCGCTAATCTCAAGAACCAGTAGGGTTCGAATTGAAAAATTATTATTGTGTTGGTTGGACCATTTATTGAGGAAGACTTTAGGCTATAAAATAACGGCAAAAATCCGAAAACGAAATGAAGGAATTATTATTCCTTAAAAACTAAAAATAATCCGCGGCTACTTTGCATGGCAAAAGAACGTTTACCAAGTCAGCTAGTACCTACCTAATATTGGTAATTATTTTTTGTAACATATTTCCTTCTTACCCTAGTTCCACTTGTATGCTTACATCGCCAGTTGACGACATACTTCGTCACATACTCACTCAAATATTAGTATATGAAGGCTTACGAAATATTAAGACTTGAAAACGCAAAGCCAAACTGGCTTTACGTTTCAACGTTTCACAATCAAAGCCTGCCGGCTTATTATAATCATTAAACAATCGAAAACGTAAATTTCTGACAAGGTTAAATAAGGTATTAAATAATTTGTAAATACAAAAATTTTATATTATCAAATTATTGATTTGATTACAGATACTAATCATTTCTAATTATTATTAATCGTTACCATTTATTCTTCCTGTATTGTTTAGTGATAAGCTGATAAGAAATATATACATGTAAACACTCCTAGTATTCATGTGTATGTCTGCGGTTTTACACGTGTGAAGGTCGATAACTATAAAACGATGCAATCAGTGAAGAGAAAGATACTAAATATATAATTAAATGTTAACGCGGTACAATATTACTTTTATTGTATATGGTTGTGAGTTGAAGATTCAAAACTGGATTGCGGCATTAAGTTAGTAAACTTCAGCGGTGCCCTTTGCTAAAAATGTTAATTAGGTACCTAGTATTCTATAAAAATACTGATTTCATCATATACATTTAAAATGATACTTACGAACTGAGCCAAAAATGATAATAAATAAATAATTAATTAAACCATATTTCCATTGTTTACAGGTTGCAGACGAGTAGATGTCAATTCGTACAGAGGCTGAGGCCACACAACCCAGAAGCTTCCGTCGTAAACCCGATAACAGATAATTAATAATAAGTGTTACAGATAATAAATAATCTCATTGAACTTTTCGTCCGTCAAGTTGCTAGACCTGTCAGCTGAAATCAAAACATTACCCGCGCATGCGCGCTGCGGGATGAATTCAGTGTCTATGACTCACTTCTAGTATACACTCAGGACAGTTATTCGCGTAATCGCGCCGATGACGCAGTAATTTATGTTTTTGTATTTAAATTCGTAATTATAATAAGTGCAACAAAATGACGCCGGGTGTGGCAGACGATTCGTGTGTTTCGATGTGCAATAACAATATAGTGCCGCTTCTGCCTAGGAGTTCTGTGCGCTTGGAGTTCAAGAATATAACATGCTCGATCTCATTGCTGTCTATGCAAAAGTTTAAATTCGGTAAGTTATTTGTTTTGTTATTATTAGCTGACTATGATGCCATACAAATGGCCTTGACTGCATTGCGCTTATCGCAAACAAACAGTTGAAATTCCAGGTACACAACTTTAATTTTTGTCATTCGACGACGAAAGTAAAACAATATCATACCAATTTTTCATTAAAAACTCTTTTATATTTGACCGGCGGGAGTTGAGCACAACAATCTAATGTAATACCGATTCTTTCACTGGCAAATAACTAAAAGTTTGAATCTCGTCTGTGTATTTTCCATAAATTATTTGAAGTATATTTTCATGTTTATTATTTTATATGCACTATCAATTAAATACAATATTTATATCTGGAAAGAAATTAAGTAAAACTAGTTCTTTTATTAATGTTTCAAAATAGGTTTTACTTTAATTTACTGTAATAATATTTAACTGTTTAGTGACTCAAATGAAAAAATCATAATATGAAAGATCGTAGTCCTTAATTATTGTTTTTGTGGCAAACAATAAATATGCAATAAAAGCTTTTCATAATTTATTAAGTTTATACTAATAAATTGACTACATTTCATTTACTTAATTTTTCTAGAAATTATAATTAGTACTAAATCTCTAGTTACGAATATTAATGTATTCTAATATTCGCAATCTATTTAAATGAGGTATATTGAGTACACGCACATTATTGCTTTTTATGTAGTGTATACATAGTTCTAACTTTTTTTGGGCGTCAAAATTTGTTTTTGCAAACCTCTTCTTGATCTTTATAAATTATATCGGTTATGCACGACGTCAACCACCGAATATCGTTCTTGCAAGATAAGTAAGATAGACAGAAATGAATAACTTTCCCCCTTTTTCCACATTTCTCGCTGTTTCTTCGCTCCTATTAGTCACAGCACAATGTTTTATAGCCTATAACCTCCCTCAATAAATGCTCTAACCAACACAAATTTCTCAATTCGAACCAGTAATTGCTAAGATGATTGCGCGTTCAAACAAACAAAGTCTACTTTATGTTAGTATATTTTAAACAGCTTTACGATGTAAAATACGAAATATATTAATTAACCTACCTTTAATCGCGACCCGACGTTTCAGGTGCAGAAGCTCTATGCCCAAGAAAGTTTTACTTTTTTTAAATAACTATCGTTTTTTAGTATAATGTTTTAACTATGTACTAGTACTAAGTTGATCTCCTTCACGAGAATAATTCTAATATTAATATTAAGGGCGTCAAGATCTAAGTAGTGAAGGTTGGTTGCAACATTTCACACAAGTGCCTTAATGATTACATACATGTGAAGTTTAAAACTCGATGTGTTTTGAAATATTAAGTTTTAGTTTTAAGATTTTCACCAATAGTGTTTGAATGCAGTTCAAAGTAGTCACTTATTATAGGTATATCATTTGTATGTTCATTTAAAAATATTTAAAATATAAAGTACATAAAATTAATTATTAAAGTTGAAACATTAATACATTCATTGCTATAAGGAATGTCTTAATTTCCTTTCCGATCTAGTTTTTTGGTTGTACGAAATTTACATCGCTCTGACTAGTTTTATGATATTTATATTCTCTATTCTATATTCATTAATATTCTCTTAATAAATATGCAAAATAAGTGCCAAAGAAAAAAAACGCGTTTCTATAATTTTGAGTACTTCAGTAATACAGTGAATACTTCAAAGCACAGTCTATCACGGCATAGAGCTCAAAACGTCCTTTTCGACATTTACATTATCAGGCACAGCACTCAAATATGATCATGTACTTGGTTATATTTAGTGAATCTTCGTAAGCTCTTTTAATAGCTTAACGTCAGTCAAATTTCAAAATCGTAATCGTTGTAATGGTAGCAAAGTGTGACTAATAATCTATATGTCGTGGGTTTGATCCCCATCGGGTCCAACATGTTTCCAATCGAGTTATAATTTTTCTTAACCATGTTGGACTTCTGGAAATCTGAATATGAAATGGATGGTAGGACTATTGACATTCCGTTCGGGTCACAAAGACACACATGAAAGAGCCGTCAAGTTTAATCGCATTTTGATCTCTGGATTTCCGAAAATTCAAAGCCAACATAGGTCAATAACACGTCATGTTTATATGTCCGGGATATTTCCCCTTTGACCCCCCATCGCCTTTCCTCCTCTATCATAAAAAATATAAATTTATTTTACACTTCCAGAACTAAGCAATATAATATATAAAATATGAATAGTACTAACTAAAACCGTGTCAAGTAACTTATTGAAAACACGTGACATTATACTTCATTGCTTATTAAACACTGACTCGTTTAAATGTTTGTTTTTAACCAGACTTGGTCAATGTTATAGTCTATTTCGGTCAACTATAGAATAATTTATTAACATCTGTTGTGATATGAAATTAGTTAATACGACACATTGCTTTGAAACGGAAAACACAAAGTTATTTTTTTATAAGTATGGACATAGTAGTATTTAAGTAGTTAGTAATCATTAAAGGTTAATTTTGTAATTAGGTAAAAATGGTAAGTTGAAGTAATCGAGAAATGATTACAATATGAATGTGTGAAACTAGTCGTTTGAAAATTCGGAACGCACTTAGCATTGACAGTATTTACGTTTCCTTATTTTTTAAATCACTTTTAATCAGATTCCTTCTGTAATACTTTTTGTACTGATTTTTGAAATAAGGCTAATTGATTAAGGTTAAGTAGCATTTTGTATGTCAGTCGACAGACTCGGCTTACTTTAACATCCTAGTTGTTAGTCTATTGGTCCAACAATTTCAAAAATAAATTGACAATTCGTCTAAAAACATGTTACACTTCGTCTGGAAAATCTGAATGTTAAATGGGTAGTAAAAAACTATTAATATACAATTTCGTATGGGGTCATGAACAATCGACCACAGTCAATTCATGGATATCTTTATATCTAAAGACAAAATTAATTGACTGTACATTTCTAAGCTACATCGCTGGCTGGCCTCTGCTGAAAGGAAACAAATATGATTTAGACGAGATTAGAAGTTGATGTTTTCACTCTATAAATCACATCACATCATTTATAACTCGGTAACTTACCTTTATGCCAATTTGATATCTATTAAGATATAATATATTGTCACCCCGAATCGCGAATTCATACCGGGAGCCAAAAATTACGAATCCATTTTGTCTAGCGAGAACAAAATATAATTTCAATTCGAACTTACTCTATAAAAAACAAGTGAGTCATTCCGATTGTAAATTAAAGAAGCATTGATCACGTGTTTCTGAGTAGATTGATTTGCATGTCTCCAATACAGACGCGCTTTTGTCCACGTACACCGGAAAACTTATGAGAATTCCTTGTTTTTAAGCATTCGTAAGGGTTACGTGCAAGTCAGTGACCGAGCTTAGGGTATCACTGACCGATGTTGAATCAAGGTATATCGTACCCATAACATGTAATAAAAGACAATAATTTATTTGTAACGGCATCATCTTACGTAAACTATAAAATCACTCATGAAAACAATACTTTGGTCTCTTCCAAACGTGTAAATCTTTCGCTTTTTACGCAAACAAAACACTATAGGCATTGTTTTTATCCTCGTCCCTTTTATCGTCCCAGGTTCAAATTAACATTCAAAATCGTTAAATATGTATCCATCTTTACAATAATATTACCTAATTGTATTCGTAACTAGTGGTTATTAGTTACGTGGTAGTTTAACCATTCCTTCAATGGTTCAACGCATATATCGTATGCACGAGAGGTCCTACGATCAAATCCCAAGGATGTTGGTTTGGGTCGGGAGGAATATCTAAATAAGTCTGGTTCTGACTTGTCTGTGTATAAAAAAATATTATTAAAATATGTTATATTTAGCACTGATGTTCAAGGAAGTTTATGCTGTAGTTGTACTGTAGAAAAAAACGTGTTTTGTTCATTTGTTTCTATTTTTAACATAAATCAGTCCTAGTATGTGAAATATACTTCGAAATGTGTCAGCCGCAGGTATATCACATAGCAACGGTTAATGTAGTATATATACCTATGTTAATAATTTATTCATCTAAAATTATGAAAGTATGTTTACCGATTTTGGTCAGAAATGTGCATTTCCCATCGATAAATAAATATGTAAATTTTCTTAAGTAAATATGTTTTAGATATCGTCTGTAGTTCACGAGTACTACACAGCTGTGGTCACGGGGCGACGGCTGCTGCAAAGCATCCGAAACGTGGGGCCGTAGTTAAAAATAATTTTCAAACAAGTTTAACTACAATGTATCCCGTTTTAAACCGTTAGTGTTTTATTTTAAAATGTTATAGATCCCTGTTTTAATACAGTTAGTGCGTAACTAAATTCTTATATACTAAGCAATAAACCAATGAGTAAATATTTCGTTAATCGTATTATCCTGTTCGTTGACGCGTAACGGGCGATTGTAAAATGAGAACGTACAAACGTTGCACTTGTAATTAGTCATATCCGAGGAAGCATCTGGAATTATTGTTTTTTCGTGATAACAGAAATCCTTCACTATATATAACTGTGACTAGTCACTGACTGGACTATTGATAAGGAGACGCAGTTATACTGTATGTCTATTTCTTCTTCTATACTTAATTCTTGGCTTAATCTATGCATATATTATACAGAGCTTTTTTGTTTAAACGCACCAATCTCAGGAACACTGGTTCGAATTGAATAATTTCGTGTGTTTGTTAAGCCATTTGTCGAGGAGCGCTTTAGGCTATAAGAAATCACAATGCAACCAATAGGAGCGAAGAAGCGGTGGGATATGTGGAAAATCATCCTTGAGGGTTTCCGTTGCGCTACAAAAATGGTTCAAGATACCAAAAAAAATATGTTTGAAAGAATTAAATGATTACAAAAAATTGCGATACTATATGTCTATATTTTAAAATTACCTTGTAAGAACGCAACCTATACGAAGTTTCTCGCACAGCAAGTATATCTATAGGCGATATGCGAAAGTGCTATCGTATAGGTGGC